GAAATAAAAACTTGGGAAATATGGGATGATAATGCGATAGCAAGAAATCTAATGAATTGGACTGTGTGACAGCTCCATAAGCGTTAAAATATGTGAATGAACAGAATACAAAGAAAAGAAATGATGGGAGAAAATAAAAAATGAAATGGCGGCAAGAACAGAAGATATTCATATCAAATGTAGAAAGAATTAGGTCAACTGAAAATGAGTCAAAACGAATCTGTAGATGCTTACATGAATACAGCTGTAATTCTGAAAAGTAAAAGCATTCAAGTTGGGATGAAATAAGAGATAAAAAATTAATTTACCTCATACTAGAAGGACGTTAAAGTTGATTGTTGTTAAAATTATCAAAGTAATAAAGAGAAAGATATAGCTTCAATTATACAAGCTTTAAGATAAACAAATTGTAGATCATGATTTAAAAGCAATTTTTACCAAAACTAAAGCAGAAGAAAAGACGAGCGAGAACAATGAAAAAAGGGTTGATCTTTACTTATGGTAACTTGGTGATTTTTTGGCGAAAATTTGGCAACCAACTCTCCTACAGCAACCCTCTGTTTTTTTCCCCCGCCGCCATTTTGTCTTCACGAAGTAAAGACATGTTTCTTTTCTTTTTATCTACTGAACACTTCTTCCAACAATCTACTAGCCGAATTACACTTATGCTAGAAATTTTATCAAACAAAACTGCTTAATCATGACAAATATTCACTGCAAAATTGGGAAAAAGTGCACAATACAATACTCCTTACGCGTTTTTCAAAATAACACATACACATAAACCATGTACACGCCGACTTATTTTTACTTAAAAAAATCCCAGAATTGCACAAAAATGGCATTACGCACACTCTTCACTATATCCATGTACACTGCTTTTTTCTCATAAATTAGAAAAATTTCACGAAAATACATGACAATTTTCTCAATCTTTAAACCCGGTAAAAAGAACATATATGAAATTACCTGATCGCGAAAAAGTATTTACCCTTTCCAAATATGAACATTTCCACATATAAAATAAATAAAATATCCAAAAACTTTTACCTCTAAATCATCTATTATATTATAACGTCACCAACGAATTCATACCGCAACCGTCCATTAATATCACATGACATATCCCATGATCTCTCATTTCCCTCACGCAAAATATGCGTAATCGGAAACTGAGTACTGCTCACATTATTACCAAAGTCCCAGGTAGTAACCTTTATCGCCTCCAAAATGTCGCCAAACTACCAGTTACCATATTGTAAAGATCAACCGAAAAAAGATTATGTAGTATGATGTATGAAATGATAGAAGAACTAAGTTCAATGGAGGCTCATGAAGTCTGGAAATTAGTTTGAAAGATCTATCAATAAGAAAATTACGATGTTTACGAAAACTACAAAATAAGATTTTTGATGTAAAAACTGCATATTTAAATGGATACTTGAATAAACCAATTTATATGAACAACCACCTGGATTTAAATCAGATTCAGACTGTCAAGCATTAATAGATTGGATTAAAAAACAAAAACAAAGTAAAAAAGTAGTTCAAGGCACATTAATCGAAATCCTTTGCCAGTAAGCCAAATCAACTAGCTAAATCATGTTTATTTTTGTAGACCTCAAATCAGGGGCTACAATGATAAGCCTGTTTTGGCATTCATATTTCAAAAATTTGAATGGCAAACTTTTTGTTTGATGTGAATTAATGATGTTTAACTTAATAATTAATATCTTATAACATTGTAATGATTATGCTGGATTTTTCATTGCTTAATACTGCATGCATCTTTTACTATTTGTCTATTATTAAATAAATTTACAGTGTATATTTAATCAGATGTTCTTTCATAAGAATTTTTTATAGCATGATATGGTGCTCATTGGGGTAGATTGCATAGTTATGATCTCACTTTGTTTTCAGGGAATTTTATAATATATTTTGGATATGCTACAAGATTTCTCGGATAATGTTCATGCTTTAAAACATCTTTAAAATAAAACTTTTTTTGTCATATATTTCCCAAAATGTTCACTTGTATGTTTATAATTAAAAAGTACTTTAAGATATTGGATTAAATGTTGAAATGTTTTATGAGAATGAGAAAGAAAAAAAATGGCTTTTGCTTCAATAGAATTGCATGTAAAATCATAAATGTAAATCAAAATTTTATTTAAATTAATATGTTTATGAATTTTGTTATGAAATATCACATATCTTTTTAATATTTAAGCAGTATAAATCAATCTAATTAATTTAAGCAATACAAATTAATGTAGTAGTATGTGGTGTATAAAGAGTTTAAATATTTTTAAAAGAAAAAAAAAGAATGTCTAAATTAATTGAATACTAAGCATCTGTAAACTATATCCATTTTGGTATATAGAATGATATAGATGATATATTGTAATATCAGTGAGTCGTAGAAACTTATTCAAGTTTATTTTTGTGGACCTCGCATCAGAGTCTGCAATAATAATGTTCCATTATTAATATTTAAAAAATTCAAATGACAACTTATTGCAGATGTTAAATGATAATTTCAACTGGCTAATCAGTATCTTATACTATCGTAATGACTCGCAGGATTTTTCATTGCTTAATATTGTGTATTTTTAATGAGATGTATTAAGAGTGTATTTTTAATAAGATTTTCTTTCATAAGAATTTTTTGGAGCATGATATGATGCTCATTGGGATTGATTGCATAGTTATGATCTTGCTTTTTTTAAAGAGAACTTGAAATATATTTTTGAATATTCTGTGTAATGTTTTTGCTATAAAACATCTTTAGAATGAATCTTTTTTCAATATGTAGACTAAACTTCAGATATACTTTTAATATATTAATGTATTAATAAGATTTATGTATTTCACTTAATGTCCACATGTGTATTTATTATTAAAAAGCATCTTAGGATCTCTGATTGAATCTTGAAAAATCTTTATGGGAATAAAGAAAAGAAAGAGTTCATTTTGCTTCAATATCATTGCACCAAAAACAATTATAAAGCAATATTATATTAGAATTAATGAATTGATATTAATTTTATTATGAAATACTATATATGTTTGTTTACTATTTAAGCAGTATAAATCAGTCTTCATAATTTAAGCAATATAAAATCATCTGAGAGCTTTAACATATTTTTTCTTTTTATTACAAAATGAAAACATCTCATGTTTAGTTCATTACATATGTTATATTTTCATTGATATTATCATACCGTATAATTTTTATAAATAATTTTTGTGTCCATTTTTTATTTCCGTATAAAAGTTCAGATATGTTTCAGTTTAATTTAAATCAGCTCTGCTAAATTTACAATATCACTCAAATCTTATTTTTATTTTCTGTTTAATAAATCGGTATTTAGTATTTAAATATCATTACGATATAACATAGTACGTTATTATTCCTAAAATTCGAAATATTAGTTGTAAAAATTAATTTGACTTGACTTTTGTGTTGGAAATAAAACGCTGCGCACTACATAAATGAAACAGTCGGCTGCGTCTACCGTGGGAACGATCGCCTTCGATTGTGACGTCACAAATCGGTGGAGCAGGCCTGTAGATATCTAGTTGGCCTTGGTTGAATTCGACTTGAGTCGTCACCATCGAGATAGATAAGGCCTGCGCTCTGAAACGAAACTGGCTTGTGACGTCACGGTTAAGAGACCCTCAGCAAACTTTTTGTTGGCTTTTATAAGTTGTAATTTTTTATCCATTATGTTTTAAGAATTGAATTTATGTTTACTTTCGACATCTGAAATTTTTAAAATGTACAGTTATTGAAGAAGCAGTAGTAATTGAATTCATATGTAGACATACTTGTTTTCATTGTATTCAATTCAATGCAATTTAAAAAAAAAATTAAATTATCTTTTAAATTACAATCTTTAATTTGAGTACGTGGCACCACCAAAAGCTATGCAAGTTAAGTTAAAAAAATTGCTTACAGAAAAGTTTTGAACATGATGTTAGGATTTATATTTTCTTTTCATGTGGATATTAATAGAAAAAAATATTTCAGAACAGAGGTAACGCTTTATAGTTAAATAGGTATGATGCAAATATTTGCAAGAAATTTCAGTTTCTAAAAGTTTTTTAAGTATTTCGTATATTTTAAAAATATTTTCAAAAAATTGTGTATAACTTTATTTAAAAAACTTTTTTTCCTGTCTTATTTGGAATTTTAATATTGATAGTCTTCAGAGCTATGTAATAAACATTATCTCAATTTAACTACAGATTCTGTCGAATAATTATTTAGCATTAAGAGGAAAACATTAACTGTAATACAGATTAACATACAATATGTAAGTAAGAAGAAATAATTTTAAGACTAGACTATTTAGTAATTTATTACATTCAGAAAAATTTTCTGACTGATATAAGGCATTTAAATGTTAGTCTAAATATTAAGTAGTCTCTTGCATTCGTTTGATGTTTATAATCCTGCACATTAATATGATAGATATAAAAAATATGCAGTAATTATAGAATGAGAGATAACATGTGTTCCCACTGGCAAACTTTTGTTAAAGTAGTGGGTGAAACAAAAAAATTTGATGCGGTGATGAGAATCAACGAGAGACGCAAGGACAGTGCAGAAAAATCAAAGTAAAAATTTTAGCTACTTGAATTTTAAAACCAATTTTTCTTCAAAGAAATGATTTGCTTTTAAAAGCACCACACCATTCTCAAATAATTTTGTTTTGAAAGTAAATACCAACAAAAGAAAATGAAAATATTTCATATTCGTATAAGCTTTGTAAAATATTATATTGCCGCTTGTAATTTTGTTTTAGACTGATTTTATAGTACGAGATACCAATTTCATAGAATAGGTTTAGAAAAACGGGTGTTTAGCAAGGAAGCTAAACTGCGCGAAGACCGGTCCCCTAGCAGTGACGTAGTAACTCAGCGCGCAGGCCTTATCTATCTCGATGGTGACGCTTTAGTAGACGATAGCAGGAACGCCTCTTGCGAGCTAACATTTGCAATTTATCAGAGCGTTGCACTTGAATTCGCCCCCAAATGATCAGGGAGGAATCAGGAAATTAGCAACTGAGGGGCTAGACGCTTGTAAAACATAGCGTGCAGAAAAATGTAATCTCATCATGCAACAATTGTTAGTTTTGTAAACAGAAGTACCTAGCTCTTTACACTAGTTAATTTTATCCTCGACTTATTTTGTACGATGTCGAAATCGGGTAGACGGGTTAAAGGTTTTAAAAAGATAATCGAGAAAGTTATTCATCCTCCTTATTTAAAAACCCAAATACCAGCTGGTAAAGCAATGCCTGGTCCCCCTCTTGGACCGCATCTCGGACAGGTAAGATTTTAAGCAACACGTAGAAGGTAAACCATGGCAAGACATTTGTATTTCAAGATTAGTATGTAAAAATGTAGTTGGTCTTATCATAATACTTCTGCTTAATATTAAGGTTAATTGCTTTACTCGCATACTTTTTTCTTGCCGCATCCATGCTTTACATGTAAAAATATTTTACCCGTAGGTACACAAATAAATAAAATAACAAATAATCACAAATCCCTCACTAAAAATAATCTCCCAGACCCTCTTTCCACACCTCCAAATACCCACTGCCCCTCAACAGGATGTCCACGACAATATTTCCTTTTGCTGAACTTCAATTGGCTGATCTTTAGAATATGGTAACTGGTAGTTTGGCGACATTTTGGAGGCGATAAAGGTTACTACCTGGGACTTTGGTAATAATGTGAGCAGTACTCAGTTCCGATTACGCATTATTTTGTGTGAGGGAAATGACAGATCATGGGATATGTCATGTGATCTTAATGCACGAATTACGGTTCTTTAATCAGAAAAGGGGGGAATGTGGAAAAATATCTGTGTCTGTATATTATTTTGTGTTAAGCTTCATTGTGTGTTGTGTGAAGTAGGGTTGAATAATTTTGGGATTGTATGGCACTGTCTAAAGTGAATTCTAGATGTGATAAAGAGAATTTTGCTTTTTATTTAGCGGAGGAAGTGTGGAGGAAAAATTCGCAGAAAAAATCGTTCAATAATTTTATTGAATCCATAATAAAAGTGTATCCACCATGTAAGCAAGATTCTGAAGAAGATTAGGTAAGTTAGTATTTTTAATTATTTGAGGATATTATTTTTATGCATTGTTCTAAATGTAAGGTGGAAGTAAAGTAATTTGGTATTATTGGGAAAATTGTTAATAGCAATGATTTAGTTTAAAGTAATTAGGATTGTAAGCTAATTTTTATTAATTTAATGTATGTGCTCATTTATATTTTAAGTAGTGTTTTTGAATTTAATTATATTTTAATGAATGATAGTTATTTTGTGAATTTTATGTTTGTAGGAATTTGGTATACGTTTTAGTTGAAGTAAACGTGCATGGAAATAATTTAAATATCTGACACTAAGTATTTGTAGTAATGTTTGCGGTATGAATTCGTTGGTGAAGTTTATAATATAATAGATAATTTAGAGGTAAAAGTTTTTGGATATTTTATTTATTTTATATGTGGAAATGTTCATATTTGGAAAGGGTAAATACTTATTCGCGATCAGGTAATTTCATATATGTTCTTTTTAACGGGTTTAAAGATTCAGAAAATTGTCATGCATTTTCGTGAAATTTTTCTAATTTATGAGAAAAAAGCAGTGTACATGGATATGGTGAAGGGTGTGCGCAATGCCATTTTTGTGCAATTCTGGGATTTTTTTTTAAGTAAAAATAAGTTGACGTGTACATGGTTTAGTGATATTTTAATTAAATGATAGTTATTTTGTGAATTTTATGTTTGTAGGAATTTGGTATACGTTTTAGTTGAAGTAAACGTGCATGGAAATAATTTAAATATCTGACACTAAGTATTTGTAATGTTTGCGGTATGAATTCGTTGGTGAAGTTTATAATATAATAGATAATTTAGAGGTAAAAGTTTTTGGATATTTTATTTATTTCATACGTGGAAATGTTCATATTTGGAAAGGGTATATACTTTTTCGTTATTAGGTAATTTCATATATGTTCTTTTTAACGGGTTTAAAGATTCAGAAAATTGTCATGCATTTTCGTGAAATTTTTCTAATTTATGAGAAAAAAGCAGTGTACATGGATATAGTGAAGAGTGTGCGCAATGCCATTTTTGTATAATTCTGGGATTTTTTTTAAGTAAAAATAAGTCGACGTGTACATGGTTTATGTGTATGTGTTATTTTGAAAAACGTGTGAGGAATATGGTATTGTGCACTTTTTGCCAATTTTGCAGTGAATATTTGTCATGATTAAGCAGTTTTGTTAGATAAAATTTCTAGCTAGTGTAATTCGGCTAGTAGATTGTTGGAAGAAGTGTTCAGTAGATAAAAAGAAAAGAAACATGTCTTTACTTCGTGAAGACAAAATGGCGGTGGGAAAAAAAAATAGAGGGTTGCTGTAGGAGAGCTGGTCGCCAAAAAATTGCCAAGTTACCATAATCTAAAGATCAACCCTTCAATTCAACAACTTCCACCATTTTATCTTTCCTCTCTAGCTTCTCAGACACAGACGCAAACCAACGAACTTCACCGAAAGATTTTTCAATGTCAACAGGGTTGCCATACAACACGCAATCGTGCCAAAAACCAGCACAGAATACAAATTGCCACATTTGGTGAAATTAGGCAGTATATCAGAGTTGTACCGAATTGACGGGTTTTCATCCGCGGAGAACCCGTTGGCGCCGTTGCATTTTTACTCGCCAAGCTCGCTGTTCATCGGCGATGAGCCGAGCCGCAAACGTGATATTTTGTAAACGTGATTTTTAGTGCATGTAAATTCAAGTTGGCAGACAAAACAATATATTAAGCATATGGTAGTGAAAATTCACAGATAATAAGCATGTAGATGTAAAACTAACTTGTTAAACGTGATATACGAAAATTGTATTAAATTCAAGTTAGTACAGAAAAAAATATATAAGTATAAGACAATATATAAGCATTTATAACGGAAATAAAAATTCATTTGAAAAATATAAATTAATATTAATGTACTGAAATTAACCTGTTAAACGTTATAAACAAAAAAAATTTGTCTTAAATTCCAGTTAACGCAGAAAACAATATATTCCTTAACCAGCAGTGGTTTGCTAATTTTGATGACCATGGTGATGCATCAAACTATTCTGTCATCTTAGATAATCAATAATCTTTTTTATTTCAACTTAATCATCTATTTATGTCACACCTGCCATCCTTTGAAAGGTTATTGTTAGAAAAGCATTAACAATATATTATCTTGTTAAAATTTTATGCCAGATAATTGATTTATTCTCATAATTTTAGATGACAATAACCAATAATAAAAATAAAAGCATTACTAGTTATTTAAATTGCTGGTTCTTAGAGCTGTTAATAATTAAGAACACAACGTGAACAGCCGTGTTACAAATTAGCATTCACCCCTCCCGCCGTATTTTCTTCCTTTCATCCCGAACCGAGAACCGGCATCTATCTACGAAAATATTTCTATCTATTCGTTGTTAAAAAATTCAGAAAAAATAAAAATAAATAAGGGAAGAATAATATAAATCTGCAAATGAGAACAACGACAGTGATAATTCAACAAAATGAACGCAAGAGGAATGGTTGCAAACTTCGAACAAGCGAATAGGATAAATCTGCTGGGTTACCAGGTTTGAACTATTATCGCCAAAGTTGGCGATGTTTACATTTACCGGGTTCTCTGCGGAAGTGCTTCCGAATTGACTATGCTGGTAAAATCCTAGTATACGGTGCAGCCTTGGCGCGACTTTGAAAATTATTGCCAACACCAAAAATGATCCAAAGAACGTCTATATATATATACTATACGCACATAGTTTATGTATATACACACATAGTATATATACTATATACATAGTATATACTATGTTTAACTACATATTTTCTTTGAAGGACCCGTTAACTACTCATCGTATATGTCCCGTTTTTACTGCTCATCATAAAGTAGCCAAATCCCGTGTGCACCTGATACTAGGATTAAGCCGACTATGCTTTCATGGTTCACAATCCTGATTCGCTGGTTTGTGTCACATGACCCCAAGTGATCTCATCTCACGTAAACTACGCTACAAAAATCTAAAAAAAATCTCTCAGTAATTATCTACATTAATTTCAAGTTAAATCTTAATTTGGAATACAAGTTTAAATGCAAGAATTATTTCAATTTATGATTATGTATTTTTTGTTTGCCTGTATTGTAGAATTGGGTGCTCCTTTGACTTTTTAAGTGAAAATATATCGATGTGTACATGGACAAATTGAGGGGAGTGAGCACTGCAAGTTTTTGTAATTCATGGATTTTTTTAAGTGAAAATAGGTTGACGTGTACATGGATAAAGTCAAAGGAGTGCGCAATGCCATTTTTGTGCAATTCGGGATTTTTTTTTAAGTGAAAATAGGTCGATGTGTACATGGATACCGAGTTTGGACAATTATTTGTCTTGTTATTTTGGCTTTGTGTAGTGGTGATTTTGGGCACAAACATCACCGTTATGCAAGCCAAAATAATAAGTCAAAGAATTGCACAAACTTGGTATCTATGTATGACCAAAGGGTACTCTAAAATATACTTTTACCAAAGGAACTGAAGGACCATAAGAACCTTAAGAAAAAAATTAATAAAGAAAAATTATTATAATTCTTCGATCCACAAAATTTATGTAAAATGAGGTAAATTGCAGTTCTCATGTAACAATATCACCATGACAAAGCAGTAGTAAGCTGTATTAAAAACATTTAAAACAATATCACCATGACAAAGCAGTAGTAAGCTGTATTAAACAACAACAAATCACATTGAACAAATTTTAATTGAAACAAAGTCTCAAGCAAAGTCAAGTGGTTCTTAGAATCAAGTGAAATGATAAAAGAATATGCCCTAATCCAGTGTTCTCCTGAAAGGAAATTTCATATACAAATAATAATATATTCCTCACCACTTTCCACTTATGCCGTTTACTGTTCTTTATACAGGTACAGTAAAATAAAATTTTTATTTCTTTTATCTGTTGAATATTGTATTTATTCTTTTGTTCCGTATTTAATTATTTCCAATTGGTTTTAAGTTACGAACTTGTGCACAAAGTATGTTGTAAGGTAAACAATCATCTATGGTCGAGAAATGAATTAATCCATTTTATGTTAATTCCTATGGGGAAGTTTGTTTCAGTTGATGAGCAGCTTTCAGGAATGAATTAAATTCCTGTACCAAGGTTTTACTGTACTTTGTCAAGTTTGATATTGTATGAATTTTCCTGGATCTTTAAGTCATGGTTAATTTCTGAAAGCTGATGAGATTTTAGAAACTTTGCCTTTGAATTTCTGAATTTTAATAATCATTCATTAGTTTGATCTTTTACTCGGGAAGTTTCATTGCTTTTATGTATATGCTGTTAAACAATATTTGCACAGGAATATATACACTCATGTCCATAAATTAAGGATAATGCAAAATCAGGCAAAGGAAGAGTTAGAAGCAAAACAAATTTGACTTATTTGTAAAGCTTATTTATTAAACAAAAGGTAAAGAGCAAAAAAAGATGCTATATGTTTGATATTATTAAAAAAATTAGCGATTTTTTTCTCCCTGGAGCAAATTAAAAAAAAAAAAAACAATATTACATGGTTGGTGATTGTTAATACATTGTATGCCTCCCAGACGATGCAGTACAGTCCGTACAACTCCTAGGCATACTGAGTATCAAATTATCGATCTGATATTGGCGGATATTACACCACTCAAAAATCCGAAGTTCTGGTAGACATGTAGGAGGAGGTTGATGGGCTGCAATTTGTCAGCCAAGCATGTCCCACACATGCTCTACTGGATTCAAGTCCGGTGAGAATGCTGGCCAGTCCATACGGGTGATATCCTCCGATTGAAGGCATCCACTTACGATGTTTGCACGGTGAGGACGGGTGTTGTTATCCATAAACACAAATTATGCGCCCATGGTGCCCCGAAACAAATGTACATGTTGTTCCAGTATGACGTTCCGATAGATTTGGCTTGTCATGGTTCCAATTTGAACATGTAGGTCAGTTCTGGAACCCAGAATAATTCCACCCAAGCGAGCACTCCTGCACCACCGTAACGGTGTCGTTCAGTGATGTTTTCTTGGTAGTAACGGATACCTAGAGCTCTGCATATGAAAGTCCGGCGAGAATCAGACTGCAAGCTAAACCTGGGCTCATCGGAAAACATCACACAAGCCCACTGTTGCGGTGTCCACAATGCATGCTCTCTACTCCAGGCTAACCGCAGGCGACAGTGAGTTGCAGTAAGTGGATTGTATCTAACAGGTCTACGAGCATGTAGACCAATCTTCCCTAAGCGTCTGTACACGGTCTGCCTTGAAATTGTCATACCTGTGGCTGAAGAGAGCTGACGAGACTTTTCTGAGGCTGTGCTCTGCCTGTTTCTTTTGGCAGTAACTGCCAAATACCGGTCCTCATTCGGCGTTGTAACTCTGGGGCGACCTGTGCTGTAACGTCTACTCACATTACCATCATCTTGGAATCGTTGCCAAAGCCTGGAGATGACACTCTGGGAAATTCCAAGTTCGTCTGATACTCCCAGTTGGGTACGCCCACATTCCAGACGGCCGATAATTCTACCACGTAAAAAATCATCCAAATGCGTCCTTTGTGTCATAACTATTCGGTTATTGCACCGAAATGCTTATAAAGCGTCTGTGAACGATTTTATTTCTTTGCCTGTATTCTTTATATATCACTCTCTTACACTGTCGTCATTGTGACGTACCATCGCTGTCATCTGGTTACTTCCTGAAATTTGCATATGATTCTTGAAGATGTGTGTAGTGATTTTACAAGTGATATATTTATTTTAGAGTTCGATTTCCGCGTGACTCCCGAATTAGCCTTAATTTATGGGCATGAGTGTATATCAAGCTATCCGTCAAAATCCATACTCAGGCAACACAAATTCATATAATAGATAGTTATACTATAGCTATATTATGTCCTTTATCTTGAGATATCAGTATGCACAGGTTTATTAGAAAGAATTATGATGTCAGCAAATTGTAACCAAGTTATTCACATGCTGTAAAACATGTACTAAGAAAGAGGAGTTCATAGTTATACATATTTCTACTTGTGGATAACTAACAGCAGATAATCTTTACAGGATGAAAAATCATTAGTTAGAACTAGCAGTGGATTTATAAAGAAGTACTCGGATCTTAAGGCATGGGATATGTTTATTGTATTTTAAGAATGTTATTAATGTGATCAATCGATGATGTTGTGGCCCCTCCTGTTTATGATGTTCGTGGCAGTACTTCAATAATTATTTAAACAATCAGAGGTTTATTTTTCTTAGGTATCGTATTTGACGGCATATAAGATGCACTTTTAGAAGGCCGCACACAAGGGAAAAAAGTCTCAATAGTAATTTAAACAAATAGTTTCAAGCACGGATACAGACACGTTTATACAGAGTAGCACCGATACCAACACGTGTGTCGGCTGAGTCAAAGGAAGTCTATGTAAAGAAGGAAAGGCTCCATAGATGTAATGTGACCGTCGAACCTGTTCAAACTTCGATATCAGCTTCGAGCTTTGGCGCTTTTTGGCGAGAGATATTTCATGCATGCGCAAAATAATTATGGCAGATGTAGAAAAAGTTATGTGTGTCTAGACCTTTATCCGGGCTAAAAATAGCCCAGATAAAGGTCTAGACACACATAACTGGTATTAAAAGTTAACCTGTGTCCTTCACATATAAGACGCAGGTAATTTTTTGAAACCAAATTTAGGAAAAAAAGTGTGTCTTATATGTCGTCAAATACGTTATGTATTAGGAATAATAAGTAAATAGGGTAAAATATATTTACGATTGCCTCTTGGGAAAAATTGGTGGTTTTTGGCAGTACATGGATACCAAATTTGTACAATTCTTTGACTTGTTATTTTGGCTTTGTGTAGCAGCGATTTTCACAACATAAGGACAAAATAACAAGTCAAAGAATTGCACACTCGGCATCCATGTACACGTCGACCTATTTTCGCTTAAAAAAATTGGAGAATTGCACAAACTCGAGACTGCGCACTCCGTTGACTTTATCCATGTACACATTGACCTATTTTCACTTTAAAAAAAAGGTCAGAGAATTGCACAAACTTGTCATTGCACACTCCCTTGACTTGTCCATGTACACATTGATCTATATTCACTTAAAATTCAAAGGAGCAGCCAACAAAAAATATATAATCTTAGTAAACTACATTTGAAATCAAACAATGAAATAACATAAAAAAGGAAATTAATCTTAGCACTGCACAAAGGAAATATCCACTCACCTTATTTACAAATTTCTCTGTCTCTACATTTGAAATCAAACAATGAAATAACATAAAAAAGGAAATTAATCTTAGCACTGCACAAAGGAAATATCCACTCACCTTATTTACAAATTTCTCTGTCTTCAGTCAAACAAAATTCCTTAACAGCATCCAAAAACTTCCTAAAATTATCTGAACTAGAATCCATATATCGGCGCCTCCACTTAATTTGCAAAAATAGGAGTTAAAATACACATTTCCTTAATACAAACAGGACACTTAGAATGGCTACTAAGTAAACCTTTATTTATTTACACAGTCAATTAATGCTCTTTATCCCTTTCATTCCAAATCATACAGAAACTTCAAATTAATCTTACCACATTCAGCCATTCTACCATCTGAACCACAAAATAAGCAATGTACTTCCTAACCAACACACAGCACAAGCCCTTACAAATCTTTTCATATCATTTAAAATCTACCGCATTTCCATAACATTTAACTACTAAGGTTACCATAAATGAAACTGCAACTTTACAATAATACAAGGGGCACCCTACAATCTACTCTAACTGTAAATAGTTTTCACATTTAATGCTTTATTTGTTTTATTTTTAAAATTATTTGTTTGTATCTTTGCAGAGAAATATCAATGTGGCTTTATTTTGCAAAGAATTTAATGAGAGGACAAAGGATATTAAAGAAGGCATTCCTTTATCATGTAAAATATCAATTAAAGTAAGTAAAGTAATTTTTATTTCAGTAAAAACCTGTAAAGTGATCACTGCTCAAATTAATGCCATATTTTAAAAATATGGCACATTTTTAGAAATAAACAGTTAGAGTATTCATAATTCTTTAGTACTTCCTTATTAATATACCTCCACTCCAATCACTTAAAAAATATCAATGTATATTGCAGCTGTTTGCTGAATGGCCGGTGGAACTTTTGGGATGAGAAAATGCTTTTGATGCTTTATTAAAAATAATTGTGAATATGTAGCAGCCATACATGTATGTGAGAAATAAGTAATTTTTCTGTGTAAGTTCTTAATTCTTTCTTAATTAAAATTGGGCCACTGGGTAGCCAAGCGGTAAAGTCATTGAAAACTGGTATTTGGCTCGGGGCTCGAATCCCAGCAAACAGACTGGCTGCATGGATGTTTTCATCGTTTTCCTTATGTGTAATGTGTATGTGAGCCAGTTTTCCTTAGAAAGTCCTCCATGTAGGCATCCTTCTCTCTAGGCAGATAGTCCTAGAGTGCTTTGCCATAATCAGGTGAACCAAACCAAGCTAAATTAAAATTTAATGTCGTTTTAATAACAGAGGGGTGTAAGAATTAAGTACCTTTTTTTTAATACTGTAATATTTTTAATTTTTGTTTTAAAACCCAGGGCATATTGAAAAAAATGCAGATATGTTAAAAATCTGTTATATGTTTTATTTGTGAGGTACTGGTATAAAACTATATATATTCACTAATGTATATTCTATTTTAAAAATGAGTTATAATTTGCATATGCACTTAAAATGCAAAATTGCTCTTTAAGAAATGCACAGGAGTCTAGTTTATATTTAAAATACATCTGAGAGTTCCCCAGGATCTGTTCAAGAATTATTTTTTCCCCCTGATATTTGGATTTAAATTTCAGCACAAGTGAAATCAAGAAAAATTCAGCACAAGTTAAAAATGGATATTTACAATGGTTAAAGCTTTCATTGTAAGTTTGCTCTTTTTTGTTTGTCTACAGCACAGTTATTGATTAAGAATTTTCAGGGTGCTTTCAAATCTTGTCTGTCTGATCTGTGAATTGATTTTTCAGAAACGTTCACTCAATTAACATTACAGAATAATCAATTTGCCTGTAATTACAGTGTGCGGTCATTTTGACTGCATCTTAGGGGAAAAAAAAATGTGTTATATTAAAGTTCTTATTTATGTTATGTGTGTATTAATATGTTATAATTTAGTTTATTAAATTTATTTTGATAAAAATCTTTAAAATTTTTTATATTTTTTATTTTACAGTGTTACATGGCAACAATTTCTCTGTTACAGTATAAACTGTTAATATTAATGTTATACCCTACACAAAATGTTTTGCATGATCGACTGCACCAACATAATTAATTCCTTAAATATTTTAGTAATTCAAAGAAGTAAAGAAATTGTCTATAGCAACATTTCTTCTGGTGTTATAAAAGGTCTCAATCAACCAATAAATAGCATACTTCCTGACAGTTTCTTTAACTGGTCTGCCTTCATCTTTTCACAAATAAGGATATCCATTTAAAAAGTATTTTATTTTTACCTCAGCTAAAAGCCAAAATTTCATGCTGAATTTTCTTGTGTTTTCAGCATATGCTGAATAAAGTGGCATTTTGCATTTGTAGGAATGATTGTTCATCAATTGTAATATTTTTGTCTGCTTTGTAACAAAATAAACAATTCTCAGTAAAGGTATTCCATAACTCTGATACAAGAAAAAAATGGATCAGTTGTAATCTCTACAATCTAGTTGATTTCAAGTCAAAGTGCAAATATTTCGTTATTTCCAAGAATTGTTTCACTGAAGAATTTTGGGTCCCAAGATTTCAACCGTAAACTCAAATTAGAAAGTCCTTTGACAGCCAAAGTGTGACAGCCTATAATAGAGCAGTAAAAGCTTCTACCTCATCAAATGATAAATTCCAGTTAGATTTCCCAACTTTTGACAAACCTCAGCTTTAGTGAATTGCTTTGTATGATGCAGTAGTTTTTTCATTGATAAAAAGTCTTTCTGCCCTACTTTTGTTTCCATGAATTACTTTTCAGAAAAGTAGTTTGTGCACCTGCTTCTCTCAAAATGTTTTGAAAAGGAAGTCTTCCAAGTGAATTTGTTGAAATAATTTCCTTTTTCCATACCTTCATTTGCCATTTCTTTAGCTTTTGATTGATTTTCTTCATTTTCAAAACATCTAATATGCCTTTATTTTTTTTACTGGGCTCTCCTTTACCATCATTTTACACCACAATTATACCTCATCCTCGACTAAATTCTCACTAAAGACTAAATCCTTAATGTCCACTGTTTCTTATTGCTAGAAAGTTATTTTCAGAATTAATATAGTATGGAAAAAATGAAAGAATTTCTTGTTCTTCCTCAGGATCAGATAGTGAAATATTATGGCAATTTTCTTTTGATGGAATAGTAGAACCATCACTTGATGAATGGTATTCATTTGTTTAGTTGGAATAATCCAACTTCGTCAGATGAAATAGAATAAATTTCTTTACTGGATTCTTCATGGGAACTAAATTCTGAACCAGAATTGTCATCAAATAATTCTTGCAAAACTTTTAACAAGTTCTTTTTTTGACAGATTTTTTTTTCTTCCAATGGTTCTATGTGACATAATTAATAGAAGCAAATTTAATATTAAAAAAAATGTGGTTTGAGCAGTTGTAGCAAAATGAAGGTGTGGCACAACAAGAAACATGAAACGTGTTTGGGACATTACCACTTGTTTGGGAAAAACGTGTTTGAGAAGGAGAAACCTCTTTTCTGTTCCAGTTAGTTATCGAATAAAATACCTGGCACGAAAAAAAGGGGGAAAACCAGTGGTGTCAAGATGCTGGTACACTAACTTGGGTTAATCTTTTACTAAATTGCAAAGAATAGTCAAAATGATCATTAGCTGTAATATTAGGTACAGTAGCTCACAAAAATGATCGGCCACTTTGATTTTTTGTCTTCTTTAATGAACATAAAAACTAAAATAAATTAAAACAAAAAGAAAGGCTTTTGTAAACAAAAAATATTGTAAACAAAAAATAACAAACAAAAAGAAACAAACTTTAATTTGCATGTAATTAAATCCTAATTTATGTATAATTAAAGCCTTTCTTCAACAAAAAGAAAGGCTTTAAATTCAACATTTTTTTACAGTAAATACATTTTCAAAAAGATGAAAATGAAATCCAAAAATCAGTATCATTTGTTTAATGAGGAAAAATATTCTCATAAAAGTAATCAGACACTTTTAGTAACAGCCAAAAATGACAAAAGCTTACATTGCTTTTTCTTCTTAATATTGTTTCTTCTAAATATTACACTTGTTCACTTCATTTAATCTTTTGGGCTTGTGGAGTCCACAAGTTGTTTTTATTATTACTATTATTATATTTATTTCTGGATTTATTTTACACCACTCCTCTTGAATCACTGTTTTCAGTTGCCGCTGCAAAGATATGCTCTATTTTCGAATTTTCGATTCTAGTTCCTGCCAAATGTTCAATATAAGATCTGGCGATAGGGGTGGGGCCTTAATTACTTCTGGACACTTATATAAAAGGCAAAATCTGACACTGTGTGCAGTATGCTTTGGATCATTTCTGTGTGCAGTATCACACTGTGTGCAGTATGCTGGTAGAATTTAATACTATTTTGTATATTAAGTTTTTGTGCTGACAATGCCAAATTATGCTTCAAGATGTCAAGGTATTTATGCTGATCCATTATACCATCTACAAACTCTATATTGTTAACAACGGAATGTGCCATAGATACCAATACCATAACTCCTTCTCCGCCATGTTTAACACTTTGTACTAAGTTTTGCTTCCGAAACTCCTCTTTAGCTTTTCTCCACACCAACGTTCGTCCATCTGAGCCGAAGATGTTAAATTTGCTTTTGTAAAATGATGTTAAATTTCCTTAGAAACAACACTTTTTATAATAATTGGGTGTCCTTTGTTTCATCGGTTTTGCGAAAGCAATGCAAAGTTTTCAGTTTTTTTTTACCGACAAAATTTTCTGCGTGCTACTCGCCCATGATATCCTGCAGATCGCATTACTCTTTCTACAGTTTCTGGATTTACGCATATTCCATATAATTCATGAAGTTCCACAACAAGTTTAGGAGCACTCAGTCTTGGATTCTTTTTAATATTCCTTAGAATAAAGTGTTTCGTTCCATGAGATAACATAGATGGTCTTCCAGGTTGTCTTTTGTTTTGAATACGATTTTGTATCTTATAATGCTTAATAGTACTATAAACTGTAGAATTACTTAAATTAAATAAATAAGCAATTTTTCTAATAGGTTCTTCTTTTTTTGATGCAAATCAATAATTAATCTGTGGGTTTCTAATGATGTTTCCTTTCATGACTGAGCCATTGCAAGAAAATATTTTCTGAAAAAAAAAAAAAAAAATTCGAATTATGAAACCAAACAATTTTTAGAGTTTTGCTGAGCTTCTTTATCTAAACTAATTCCATAAAATTTTGTTTATTTATTGCAAATGATTTTAATTAGAAATTATGAAAGTGTCCGATTAATTTTGTGGTATCTTTTTCTTCCATTTCAGTCTAAAATGTTTTTTTTTTTTTTAATTTACCATTTTGTTTTTCCAAATTTATTCAGTGCAAAGGGATATTTAAGAAAATATGTATTCAAAGTGAAAATATTTTTTATTAGTTTACTGCAAAGCTTTTCTCCCGTTTTTTAAAAAATTAAAAATGTTGTGCCTGATCATTTTTGCGAGACACTGTAATATGCAGTTATGTGTAAAATAATAATAATTTAAAACAGGCCAAATAAATTATTTTATCATTATGGTGTATATTTGTAAGAAAATTAAAAAAAATATCAAAATATTTAAATTTCAGAAGTGCAAACAATTTAATTTCATTTGTGGTCAAAATGACTGCTTATGTAATTCAAGTGTTAACCAACATGTATTGTGTTGTGCAGAGAATTTGTAAAATACAAATCTAAAAATGTATAAAACTTCAGGCTTGACATTAAGCTAATTTTTTTTAACTATGTGGATAAATTTGTTACGAAGAGTAAAAATAAAATCAAATTGCTAAATTTCACAGTTTGTGTATTTTGTTTAGTTATTAATTTCTCGTTTATTTGCTTTAAAAAAGTTTTATTGCTTTTTTTTTAATGTAGCTTAACTACAGCTTATTATAAAGGATTTGGATACAAAAGCAAAGTACTAAATGGGAATATTTTTGTGAAATCTGCATAACATTAATTTAAAATCCTTTAATGTTGTACATTATATACCAAGACTGTACAATATTTTCTAATAACGGTACATTATAAATTTTAGATTAAGCTTTTCATATTCAAGTTGATAATAAATAAGATGACTTTTTATAATTTTAGACTGGAAATTTCGGCAAAAATATATTTATGGGTGCCCCTTGGCAAATGGTACATGGATACTGAGTTTGTGTAGTTCTTTGACTTGTTATTTTGGCTTTGTGTAGAGGAGATTTTGTGTCAAAAATTGCCGCTACACAAAGACAAAATAACAAGTCAAAGAATTGCACAAACTCGGTATCCATGTACAGGTCGACCTATTTTCACGTAAGTCAAAGGAGCACCCAATTCTACAGTAGAGCCGAACAAAAAAATACATAATCTCATTAATTACATTTTAAATCAAACAGTAAAATAACATAAAAAAGAAAATTCATCTTATGCAACAAAGCACTACACAAAGCAAATATCCGCTTACCTTATTTAGAAATTTCTGTGTCCTTCAAACTGTGGCAGACAAAATTCCTTAACAGCATCCAAAAACTTCATAAAATTATCTGAACTAGAAACCATGTATCGGCGTCGCCGCATAAATTCACAAGATTAAGCATAAAAAATATCCTCTGTAGGGCCGATATCTTCCGATGTTCAACCATATGCATTTCCTTCCTACAAACAGGACACTTATAATGGCTACTAAGTAAACCTTCATTTACACACAGCAGTCAATTAATGCATTTTTCACTTTTCGTTCCAAATCGTACAGAAATTCAAATTAATCTTACAATATTCAGCCATTCTACTTTCTAAACCGCAAAACAAGCAATGTACTTCCTAACCAACACACATCACAAGCCCCTACAAATCTTTTCCCTGTCATTCAAAATTTATGGCAACACACAATCGATTATGTCATAATAAAGTTTCCATAACATTCAACTACTCAAGTTACCATTAATGAAACAACAACTTGCTGAAAATGAAACAACTTGGCGAAAATGAAATAGCAACTTGGCGATAAATGAAACAATTCTGCAATAATACAAGAGGCACCCTTCAATCTACTGTAATAGAAATTTCTTCTTCCATTCATTTAGCTTTACCCAGAATTTTCGCTTGTCCGACATTCGGCATTTCCCAAGCTTTCTGGATGGTCAAGCTTTTACTGTACTGTACGGAAATTCATGGTTTTGTAAAGTGAAAGAACATCATTCAAAAGTAGTAATAAAGAGAAGTATTTTATTACTGTTAGATTTATACATTATTTTCTGCCAGTTATATGATAATTTTTGCTATCACATGTTAGTCAATCTGGCAGAATATTTTGATATTACTGATGTGTTTTATGCCAAATGCTTACATGTATACCGAGTCTTATAAGTATGTTTGTGGTCTTTCAATAATGTAGTTGTTAAAGCTGTAAAACGTTTGCAATGTACCCCAATTCTTATTCTTAGTAAATTAATGAGCTGGTTATATTCAGGCTTTATAGTTTTTCTCTTGTGTAAATCAAATACAAGATAATATTTCTTAAGAGGTCCTGCTTAAAGTATCCTTCCTTTTAGGCAGGTTTTAAATTAAAAAATAAATAAATAAATAAGTAAAATAAAAAAAAATAATAATAAACTTCTCTAATGAAGAGAGTTTTTTTTTTTTTTTTTTTTTTTTTCATCTTTTCATAATTAAATTATTTATTCCAGTCCTAATATATTTTTTTTTTGCTTATCTGTGTTTTATGGTAGTTTTAGTTTATCTTTTATGTATCTGGTGTTAGTATGTGTTTGAAGTTTTATGTTATTCTTTAATCATGTAAGTAGTTGTAAAATATCTTGTTAAAATAAAATGGCAGTACATGAGCATTTAAATACATTTATTTCATCCATGAAAATTACAAGTAATTTTTTAGGTTCATTATCTTTAAAAATTTTTCATTTGGAAATATGAAGCTAAAGTAAAAAAAAGCTGAATTTGATTATTTTGAAACAAAAACTTTTTCTTATTTATTTAGAGATTTTTATCACTAATGGCTTTTTAGTGGATTATTTGAGCCTGATAAAATGACAATAGTTTTAATGAATGAAGCTTTAGGTTTTGTTTGTAATATTAGTGGTACAGAGGTTAATAAAAGAGTTTCCTTTTCTTTTCTTTTTTTTTTTTTTTTTTTAAGAAATTAATTTGTTTATGAGCACATTAGCTCTAAATAAACCTACTTAAAACATTCTTTCAGAAAGGAACTGTCTGTTTCTCATAAAGAGAGTGCACCATAAAATATTCTAATTTTCTTAAATTAAAATTGTTTATTAAATTAAATAGATGCTTTTACTTTTACAGCCTGATCGTACCTTCGACATAGATATATACAAACCCCATACTAGTTATTTTGTGAAACAAGCAGCTGGATGTGAAAAAGGATCAATGTCACCAGGTAATATTTCTAAATCTTTGAAGATGACATATGTTTTTAAAGCTTGTTATTTAATATAAAGTATTCTCATATAAAATTGTATACATATCAGTTAAGCTGTTATTATATGCTATCATCATTATTATGGCCATTAGGAAAGCTAGTTGGTAACATATTTATGATATGCAGTATTTCGTATATGATATGTTGTAATAGTTATATAAAATGTTTTAGCTTCTATGTATTTTGTAAAGAAAAGTTTGCTGTTTATCTTGTTATAGAATCAGATAATACTAGCCTTACATATCTAAATCATAATAAATCCAATACTAATTTCAAAATAAATGGATGTACTACATATAACATGTAACAAATTTTGGGATCATAGTAATAGAATCATGTATGTGGCATAAAGTTAAACCTCTTCTCATGATATTCTGTATATGTTCTGTGTATAAATTTTGAAATAGTAAAAATATTTCACCCCTCCTTTCCAAAATTTGAAAAATACATATTATTTAGATTTAGATTATTTTTTAATGTGTTTTATAAATTGAACAACAAAAATTATAGAAAATGTTGATAAATACCAAAACTTGAATAAAGTTTTTTTTTTTTTTTTTAATATTCATAAAATAAAACTGAATACTGAACAGCTAAATAAAGGGTTGATTGCATTTCCCCTTGGAAACTATAAATTCCCCTTTGGGAGAATCCGCCCCATACTGGTTGAGAACCCCTGATCTATAATACATGTAAAATTCACTGACATGTTGATTTTTTGTAAAATTCATTTGATATGTGTACTGTTGGTGTAAAGTTAGAAATAGTTACCTTAATTTCCGGAAGAAACGCCATGCCATTTATGTGTTTAAAACTTAAATTTTCAGCGGGTGTGGCGTTTCTACCCATATGGTGCTTAGGTGCACTTAAAAAAAAATCAAATGATGTCATTGTGCATAGTTTGAATGACCTTGTTATTGTACATAGTTTGGATGGCCTTGTCATTGTACATAGATAGGTGCCGTTCCCACACAAAAGACCACTCAGTTGCTTTTTGCGAACTTTATTTTGTTTATGTTCTTTCCCTTGAATGGGCCTACATGCCTTATTTACCCTAAATGGGATCTTAGAACAATAACATTCTTCCCTCTTTCAAATCAGCATTCTCATCAGTTTGAATAGTCTTTCTTCTCTGACATTTGATGAATCTTCCAGGACCTATCCTCTCTCTACCCCTGCCTTTTCCATTGTAAACCTACTGCAATGTTTTTCAAAGGCGTACACCACCTGTGTTGCAATAACGAATTCTGACGTATTTCCCCTTCAGCATGAATCAATTTTTCTTGGCATTCTGGCAGATACAAATCCCATCAGTTTGGGTACAAGTATTTGTTGGATAGTTTTTTCAGTAAGAAGAGAGTGGAAAATTTTTTTAAATGGCACCTAAATGGCACAAAAGCTATACTGCTAGTTTTAACTTAATGTAATTTCACGTGCTGAACAAACTGGAAATAGAGCAGCAACTCGAGAGTTTGAAGTGTACGAGAGATGCATTCAACATTGGAGAACTGAAAAAGAAGAACTTAAAAATATGCCACTACAGAAAAGAGCCAAAAGAAGTGGTACTGTAAGGTGGCCAAATGTAGAGGGTGATTTTGCAAACTGGATAAAGGAGCAATGAGAAAAAGGAAGGGCAATTTCGACTGTAAAAATTCACTTACAAGCAAAATTAATGGCAAAACAAATGAACTTAAATGATTTCAAAGGAGGGTCTTGCTGGTGTAGCAGGTTTATGAAAAGAAAAAATATTTCTGTGCATACTAAAACAACAGTTGGGCAACAATTACCAATAAACTGGCAGGATGAAAAGGCATCTTTTCTAAATTATATGACAGATTTTTATTGACAAAAAAAAAAAAAAAAAAAAAAAAAAAAAAATTTCTTCCATTACAGATAATAAATATGGATGAAACACCATTAGCTTTCGACAATCCTGCAAACAGAATTTTTGATGAAACTGGTGTAAAAACTGTATCGTTGCTTACAATGGGGCATGAAAGAACGTCATTTACATGTATGTTAGCTTGTGCCGCAAATGTTGACAAGCTAAAGCCGATGATCATTTTTAAAAGAAAAACTATTTCGAAGGGAGATTTTTCTAATGACCTAATTATTTATGCAAACGAGAATGGATGGATGTGTGAAACAATCATGTATGAGTGGCTACAAAGAGTTTGTCAGTGTTGTAAGGGATCTTTTTTCCAACCAAAAGGGTTATTGATAATGGATTCCATGCGTGCTCATTTACTTGAGTCGGTGAAAACCAGATGTCAAAAACTGTCTACGATCGTTGCAGTAATTCCTGGTGGTTTGACAAAAATCTCACAACCATTAGATTTGTCAGGTAATAAATCTTTCAAGGCTGAAGTTGAAAGCAGTGGGAGTGTTGGATGAGTGAAGGATTGCATATGTATACCAAAAGCGGCAAATTGCGTAGAGCATCTTATGAAGATGTTGCAAAGTGGGTAGGAAGTGCATGGAAATCAGTCAAAACATCGTCAATAATAGCAGCATTCAAAGAAGCTGAAATTTTATGCTCAGATAAAGAGACTGTAAACCAAGAGGATGAATGTGACGATCTTGAAGACTTTTACTTAGATCAGGATTTACTAAATCTTTTTAATTCAGATAGTGAAGAATCAGATTTTGATGGCTTCATTTGACGTACAGTTTGCTGTAATTCCTTTGTAAGTAAAATTTAAAATTTTCTTTTGTCATCCGAATATAATATCTCTGTTGCAACATTTTTTATAATAGAGTATGACAAATATGTACTTCTATAGTGAGTATAAGTATATTCGTCAACATAAATATATTTTCAACATTTCTTACCTTTAAATTATTTTTGAGTTATAGTTTCATGTCATGCATTTTTCTTAACTGATATGTCATATATCAGGGCATAGGTCAAGATTTTGCATCTATACGATCCACGACGATGTCACGCACAATTTAATTTATTGCAGCATTTCTGCATAATTAAAAAAATTTTTTTCCACCATTTTTCTCGAGTGCGGTATTTACGCTGATGCGACCATTCTTCCAAAAATTGTGGTACATATTTAATTAAGAAGCTGTGTTTTTGTTTAACATCTTCAATTATAAAAAATGGTTATTTTTTTACACTTTTCATTAAAAAAACTGTTACTGAACCAATCATAGCTAAGCATGTAGAGGAATCATATTATAAATGCACTGTCTTGACAGAACACATAATCTATGGCAGGTTAAGTGTTCTGTTGAACTATGGTTTTATAGAAGCCTGTACATTACAACATAGGTATAAGTTAAGATTCTTAAACCATGACTCTCTTTATAGTAAATATTTGATCGGTGAACAACACTATTTCTTTTTCAGCATAAGAAATTGATCTATACTATGTATACACATGAATATATTAATAATGGCAATTATTTCAGCGTGTAAAAAAATTTAGAAAATCGATCTTGATTCTGCTGATGTGCCACCTTTCCTGAACAAAACTACAGGGTGCCCACTAAAATCCAGTACCACACGTTTAACTGCCGAAAGGCTATAGCTATAGTCATAACAGTGGTGTCCAGGTACAGTAAAGTGGGTATGCGCTACTAGACGAGATAGCTTTCAGTGCCACCTGGTGGAAAGCAGCAGAGTTAGCATCCCTACCTTGAAAACGATACGAGATAGGAAAAAAAAAAATGAATTACAAAGTTGTAGAGTATCATCGATTAAGTACAAAAACACACCTCAGGGACATGAATGCTAGAAACAGAACATTATAAATGTACATTTGTTTATTCACGATTTTCGAAATTGTGATGTCATGAAGTGATCTTAGAAAGAAAAGAAAAAAAAAAAAAAAAAAACTAGTTATCACAAGCTAGCTTTATTTTTGATATTTTACACTGCTCTCAATCAGCTAAAAACTCATCTGGATAATTGTTAGAACTTCATGTTACACATTATACTATAGCGGGTGACATGTTTGCACAAGCATCTGTAATACGTTGTTGAAGGCCCTGCAATGTTTTTTGAGGAGGTCACATACACCTGCTGTTTGAGGTATCCACACAAGAAAATGTCCATTGGAGCCACTCTTCAAAACCACCGTATGGAATTATTCGTTCTTCGAATTCCTCCATCAGGTACTGCTTCACTTGCAACATCATGTTGGAACCATCCATTCAGGAGTTGAAGCAATGGCATGTTCTCAATAAAATCGGGTATTATGTCTTGCAGAAGTTCTAAATATATTGCAGCCGTTAACATACCCTGGTAAAATATTAGCCAATTAGCCTGTTATTATAAATTTCACACCAAACATTAATCGAAAACCATATTTGATCCATATATTGAAAACCATATTTGATCCATAAAACCATATATTGAAACGTCAGCAGAACATGATGGATTTATCCTGCACCCAGTAATGGGTATTCTGCCTATTGTACATTTCATTGCACGAAATACATACCACCTGCGTCCACACTATACCTGCCAAGAATGTTGGCTGGACCTCTATCTGGTTTATGGCGAAGTTGCACCATGTAAAACATCTCTCAGCATCCAATGCCTCATTAGGTGTTGGTTGGTATGGATGAGCACCTAATTCATTTAGGATTTTCCAAAAGTGACTTTTTGAGAGGCCACAGTTTTCACTTTTTTATCTTGTGCTGTTGTTTGGATATGTGAGACCGTATAATAAGACAATCTTTCGGTTGCACTTTCCGCCTACCTTAGCTGGTCTGCCGGATCTAAGTTGGCTAGTCATGCAGCCTATGTCACTTAAATGTTTCACAAACCTGTATGATGGTTTTGTATGAAGGATGCAGGCCTGCAGGAAAATGCTGCCGTTCGTGCCTTGCACTCACATTCACTGTAAATAGAACCATCTCAAAACAATCATTTTTCGAGAATCGCTTCATGTCCATGAGCTTCAACATACAACCACGAGGAGATATCTCTATTATAGCTGTCTCAGGTGAACAGATGTGACATTCCATAGACTGCATATCGACGATGCTCTACAACTTTGTAATTCACTTTTTGGTATCATTTTCGAGATAGGGATCTATCTCATATCGTTTTCGAGATAGGGAGGCTAACTCTACTGTTTCTCACCAGGAGGCACTGTAAGCTATCTCATCAAGTAGCGCATAGTTACTTTAGTTACTTACCTAGACACCAATTTTATGAATATAGCTGCAGCCGTTCGGTAGTTAAATGGGTCGTACCAGACTTTAGTGGGTGCCCTATATATTGTTTTCTTTAGAAGAAATAGTTCAGTCTTGTGCTAAGTATTATATGCTGAAAAATATATGAAATCAAAAATGAGTATCAAATAAATTCAGTTGTAAAATAATAGTAATAATGAAAAAAACCATTCCATTTTTAAAGGTGTTTCATTATTTAAAACAAGTTTAGATAGCATGTAAATCAACAAGAGAAAAAACATTGTGACATTCTAAAGTGAGAAAAAATAAATTGAATAACTGTGATTTGAACAAAGAGAGCAATATGAGCAATGATAGTTGGATTCCAAATTAGTTTTTTTCATATCTGTATCCTCTCTCTCTTTTTGTTAGTACATTAAGTCATTTTAATGTGCTGCTGTGAAATAAGGATATGATTTCTTTTCTTTCTTTTTCTTTCCAAAGGGGTGTTAGACCCAAAGTCCCTTGTCTGGAAAAGGCATTTTGTGTTGTTTCTTATTCTGCATTGATTCACTTTTCAAACTGTTGCCACCAAATATTATTGCCGTGTATTATATTTAAAGAAACTAAATAATAGAGAATCTGCACGAATGTTTGTCGTATTGTGAAAAAACAATGGCACCTAGAGCCATCAAATTTTAAATAATGTAGTCGTCCAATTGAACATGGGCTCTTGGAAGGCCGAATTTTGAATTTGTTTTATTATCTATTTCAAATTTTGTAAAACTTCACAAATTGTTTATTAACATACTCAATGATTTCAAAGCTGTATTGGTTTCACTGGAATGGCAACACTGTAAAAAAAAAAAAAAAAAAAAAAAAAAAACATTTTTATCTCCAGTGCACGAGATTGTTTTGTGATATTGCTCTTGAATTGAATTTTATGTGGTTTAAGTGCGAAGAACATGATATTTAATAAATAAAGTAAAAATGCAAAATGTTAAAAAAATGCCTTTTTGTGCATAATATAAAATCTGAAATCATACCTAGATTATCTGAAATCTTACCAGATTTTTTTTTTCCTTTAAGATTTTTTGGTAATTGTACCAAATTTAAATAAGTATAGATATAAGCTAAGATTTGACTGCTATATTACCCCCCTTTTATGCGCAAGCTTTTTTTTTTAATTATTTTTATTTATTTATTTATTTTTTATTTTACTTTTTTATTTATTTACTTATTTATTTATTTATTTTGTGCTCTAATTCTCTGTATGGTGTATATTTGAGCTGTTTCCTATTCATTGAAGAATTTTATTAAATTTTCCTATTGAAACCATATCAAGATTATAGTTTTATAGCATAAATATTAAACAGTACATTATATAGCTAACTATTAGTTTTAAGCATCACATTCTCCTTAAAGATATTTTTATATATTTATTATTTATCAGGTCTTGATTCATAGCTTTCTCTGTAATGTACAGCTTCTTTTTCATGTATGAGGTTATATTTCACTTGAGTACCAAAATCCAAAAGTGAAAGGGAATCCCTGTTCCATCAGGTTCTATGGGTCGTCCTTGTTGATTTTTAATTTCACAACCTGATAAATCTACTCATGGTCATAGTGTCACATATTTAGATATAGTAAAAGCCCATCTATCTGGCATTCAACTAACTGGAATATTTTTGAATTTTAGAAAAAAAAAAAAAAAAAAATTCCCTGAAAAATTTAGTAAATGAGAGATTTTTAATTGGAATTATAAAGCTCATAATACTATTAACACATATGCATTGTCAATAAACACTGTGATTTAGTGTCAATAATGGATAAGCAAGATGTCACAACACAATTATTTGAAGTTTGTTTTGGTTTAATGTAAATCCAATTAATTCTCGGTAGGCTGGTTTAATTTTTGTAAAGAAGATTGTAAATTCTAATTTTCTTTGCATTTAAAAATTTGAATAATAGCTGGGACTGTATGAAGTGGATTAGTTTCGAAGCTACAGTATACGGGCATAAATAAAGCTACAATATACAAATTTCAAAATGGATAAATGTGTACAATGTAACATAAAAAATTATAATAAGCAATATAAGCTTTTTATACATTATAACCATAATATGTCTATCTCTCTATTATCTAACTAAATAAAAAAAATCTATTCATTTAAACTTTGCTGAAATGATTAGCGACATCTCCACCAACTTTCATGTTCCGTAAGATTTCATTGTATAATCAGATTTTTTACTTTCATGTTTAAACCATGCAAAATAAGCCTGTGATCACCCCCCCCCCAAAATGCTATATAATTTTAAATGTGGCTTTTGATATTCAAACTGATAACAAATAAGATGATTGTTTTTGCAATTCTAGAGCAGAAATTTACCCCATTGATTTGGCTTTTTTTTAACATGAATTTAATTTTATATAGGCTCAACTAACTAGAATTTTCATGCATCCATAATCTGGCATTTCCTGAGCTTTCTGGGTAGTCAAATTTTAGTGTAAGGACTAAACCATGACAGATGCTAAGTGTCTGAGAGTCTTTTGAATATAGTTAATATGAAGTTTCTTATGAAAATTTTCATTTAAAGCTTGACTAAATATTGACTTATATTAAGTGAAATTATAAAACCATTTGTTTTGTTGAATTTTGTGAAGAGAAAAATGTATGTGATTAAAAATGCTTGATTTTTCATTGTTTGTGCAGCATTTTCAATTTGTACAGCAAAATCTACACTTTTTATGCTATTTTTTTATGTGATTGAAACAGTTATATTTCATAGATTTTTGAAAAACATTTCACCTCTTAACAATTTTTGTCTGCACATAGCCTTCTTTTCTAAGAAACCTAAACAATGCGACCATTTTTCTTTGTCAAGAGTTTATTATAATATGCTTAATGAAAACAACAATATTTTAAAGCTAGACAAAAAAGCAACCTTATTTGGCTTAGATTTTGCATAAAGCTATTCATTTTGAAAGTGACCGGATACAGACGCCTTTTTTTAAAGAGCAAAGCATTTTTGCTTCTGAAGAAAAAGGACTTGTGCCTGATTGCTTTAGAAATCAGTAGAGTTTAAATCGAAATCTAAATAAAATCTGATCAAAATTACATACGGGAAATTAAAAAAAATATATAAACAGTTCAGGAATGTAACAAATGATTGAAAAGATTGCTATATCATAACTACAGAATCAATCATTATGATATGATAAATTCCCCTGAGAAAAAAAATAAAGCTGAGAAAAGCTAAGATTAATAATTCAGAAAAGTTTAACTGCTATTGCCATGTGTGTTAGTTTATTTTAATAATTAATAATTTTTAATTGTTAATTTTTTGGAATCAAAAGCTTGTCATTTCTGATTTTTATCATTTTAATATGCATTTGATGGTCTCAGGTTATGAAGTGCTGTTTTAGAGAAACTATAACAATGTTTGTTTATATTTCTAGAAATACTGGTCATTTGTAGAGATGGTCTCTTCAGAGATGTCCTTGTATTAACTAGCAGAGGGTTGATTGTATTCATTCTTTAAATAATTTGTTCCAAAATTTATAATTATTTTATTTATTCTTTATTAGGTCCAAAAGACTGGGCTGGAAAAATTTCATTGAAACATGTATATGAAATAGCAAAAATAAAATCTGAAGACCCATATTTTGAATGTACTCCTCTTAAAGAAGTATGTCAAGCAATCATTGACAGTGCACGTAGAGTTGGTGTTGAGGTTGTTCCCAAGCTGATAGAGGAAGAATATGCAGAATTTCTAGAGAAAAGAAAAGAAATCATTGCTCAGCAAGCTGCTGAATTAGATGAGAAGCGTAAAGCCAAAATTCTCAGACAAGCAAAAGCAGCTGTAGCTTAATATTGTATTTATAAATATATCACTGTAGACTATTATATTAAAAATACATTTGGAAATCATGAGACTTGTTTCATTATAGTTTGAAAAAAAAAATCAAGCATTTCAAAATAAGTAGTTAAGGGTTACAAAATTGATGGTGCTAAGTGTGCCCATTCTTGAATGAATTTTATGTTTCTAAGACATTGTGAAAAGAAAAGAAATAGCAACAGTAATCTGTCTAGACAGAAGAGTGGATAGAGACAGCACCGTGTCCAACATAAAATCTTCATTCAGAGAGCTTTGGTGTCAGTACATATTTGTTCCCATTGGCTAAATTTAAGTTTTGTTTCTCAAATTTAAAAGTTCTTATTGAAGCCTTATGTAAATATCTGCATTATTAGAATCAGGTAAGAATCATGTGGTGACAATAACATTTGAAATTTGTAGTTCAGGGAGTCAAGCAGAGAAGTAAAGGGACAAATACAAATTAAAAACAGAATTTTGATTTACATGTTTTTTATCGTAGGTACTATTTCAGCTAGTCAATGGGATATCCAGTACCTGTTGTGAAACCTCTGCTTCATTATAAAGTTTGCGTACAGAATTAGAAAAAAACATTTCTTCTCATCTGGAAGATCAAAATTTTTTATGACTGCCAAAATACAATATTTGTTATTATTTCAATGCAATGTAGTAATTAATTCAGTTTGGAAATCTGTTTCAGCCATTTCTTCCATTGTCTAACAATGTTTACAATAAAGCAATTTAATGAATTTAAAAAAGATTCACCATTCTACTGCTGTGAAAGTCATCAGCCTTAATATTTACAAGAACATGCTTTCAAATACCTGTGGGTTGTGCCTTTCGTGATATAGTTAGTCATCCAAAAACTCAAAATCATGATCAAATCAACTGAATTACATTCTTCTGTTACCACTGCTTGCATTCTCCTCAAAAGAGAGAATGCAAGGAGTAATATACAGAGTGTGAAAAATCGGGTCTAAGTACACACAAATATGCAATAGTTTAAAGGTTTGGTATTTTGGTCACACTATAAAAATTGGTTTAAAGATTTTCCTGTCCTCATCTTTGGGCTTTGGAAAACATATACAACAAATTCACACATGCAATATATAAATTTTTTAAATTAAATTTGTTAAAAATTTTGTTGTAGAGTAATGTGAAGTTTTTATTTAATAAATTTGTTAATAGAGAACCTGCCGATTTTTTTCTCAAATTTTATTTTGATATTGTATTGCATTGTATTATTTTTCTGTGTAAGTCCATTTTACATTGCTTTACGATAAGGAAATGTCAATTATTTCATAATGAAAAAATAAGTATTTTAATATAATTTAGTGACTATATAAAAAAGTTGTTAGGTTTTTATATTGAATGTGACAATTTTATGAAAGATTTACAAGAGAAGGATTTTAAGAGTCAATAATGTTTGGGTGTAGAAATTCCACACACTTTGAACTTTTACCCTCTTTGAGAAAAAATTTTATTATGGGCTCCAAAAATTTAGGTCTGTTTTCTGGTATTTTAAAAGGAAATCTGAAGAACTTAAAATTATTTGACTTATCATTTTTGTTTTTATATTTATATCATTTCATGTGTTTAATATTACTTGTAATTTATCATTTTTGTGCATAAACCTGTTTTATTAGATTATGAGGAAATTAAAAATGAAAACAACATAGCATAGTGATACAAGGTTATCCTGTGTCCATGATAAAATTTTTTTCTCTTTCACATTTTCATTCTGTTTTAAAATTATAAAGTAATATTTAGTTTATGATGCTTTTTCTCTAAAAAGGCTTTCCTGTAGCCAAGCCTTTATCTCTTTGAAAAGGGAGGCATATGTTAGATAAAATAATAACGTTAATTTTCAGTTGTCCCTATGTTTCCATTTTAATTTGGTTACTTTCCCTTCTCATCTCAAAAGTCATAGGTGCTCATAATAAATCGCTTTAAACTGCATCATTTGAAAATTAGTATGTGTTATATAATTCTAGTATTAATGCTCATGAGGCAGATGCTTGCTTATGTAACATATCTGCCTGTCAGAAGCGTAGCTTGGGTTTTCAGTGCCTGACTGAAACTAAATCATTCCACACCAAGCTTTCATTTTCAGTGTCACAATCTCTTTTTTGCATCCAGGTTCTTGTGTACTGTGAAACTATTTTTACTTCATCAGAATTCATAGCTTTGAAGGTGTAGAAAGCATAATCAAAAACGGATGCAGATTTGCACAGTCAGAAGAAATTTAAAAAAGGGGGCGGGAATATTTTTTTTTTTTTTTTCATTTCTTCTACTTGAAAAATTATGTTCTTTGTTTTCAGATTTATTAATTGGTTAATTATTAAATATTCTAGTAAGAAGAAATGGCATCTCTTATTTTCCTACAAAAATTCGTCACCTCCTCCAAATACTGTTGATTAGTAAGATTAAAAGAACTTGAATATTTTATAATTATATTAGCTAAATTTAATATTTAATTTTCCACATATTTTTAATAGTGAATTTAAATATCAGTTTTCAGTAACTGAACTTTCAGTGGCATTGTGTTTAAGTAACAAATGTTTTATTTAATTTACGTTTTTGCTGAATGAGGTTCACTAAATCCAGAATTTATGTAGATTTCAGTGGCAAGCAGTTTTACTATAAGGTTAGAAAAATTGCACATAGCTGTATGTGAGAATTTTTGTATTCACTCCAACTGTGACTGCAGTGGAAACTTTCCACAGCAGTCAGAGTCTGCTCTGAAACTAGACAGAAAAGTGCAAAGAGGCATTTGGTAAGTTTGAAGTGAGTTAGCTAAGTTTAGTTGAACCTAAGACAGATCTTATAACTTAAATGTCATTGTAATATAAAAATGTTCTCTCTTAAAAATGTGTTTTTGTAGAATGTTTAGCTACTTTTTAAAATATTGAGAGTTAAATCATGTAGCTCCAGTGCAGTTTAAACTTCAGGAATTCATGGCAGAGTTGCTAACTGTTAATTTGCTATGATAGTTTGCATAAAAGACTATAGGTAAATTTACAATTTATTTATTTTTATTAGTAGGTACCTGATTGTGCAAATACTTTTTAAAACAGCTAATATTAAAATTTTTCAATTTCTATGAAACTCTACTTTAATCATGGCATCCAGATAAAATTAATATCTCCCCCCCCCACACTGAATTTATTCAATCCCTTGATTATCATAATTATCAAATATCTAATTAGAAAATATTTATTTTCTAAAATTTGTCAATGAAATGAAGTAATTCTGCATATATTAGTATAACTGCAGTGAAAATTTTCATACATTATTTGCCCTACATAGAAAAGCTTGATATTTAAATCCTACTGCTGCATATTTTATTATGTAAACTAAATTTCCTGAAAAGTTAGCCATTATATAAATTATAGTAGCTATTATTTTCTTAACCTTACTTTTGGATTACAAAATTTAAATAATAATTCAAAAGCCTACCAAAATTTTAAACTGCTTGCTTGTTGAAGACATTACTGAATTTCCTCATATATGCAGCATTCACTGTAGAATTTAAAATTAAAGACTGATAAGAAAATGACAAAGAGGACATTTGCTGATTTATAATATTAATTCTGCAAATTTCAAAATAGATAGACTTGATAGATATAATTAATTCACATTAATTTACTTATTTTATTTCTTCCTGTAACTTTATTAGCATACGATTTTAAAATATTTATCCCCAATAGGAATAAGGGGTTATGATGGCTAACAAGATACAGTGACATTGAAATAACACTGAAGGTGGTAACTGTAACTGATTTTGAAATATATAATGCAGTAATATTAATATATGTGTTCATATATACTTTTGAAAGCTGTTGAATTCCTACCGAGACCATGTAGAGTGCATAGTTTTTCCATTCTCAATATTTATGTAGCAAAATCAAGGGAAAATGATGAAAAAATACATCAGTAAAGATGATGAAATTTTCTGTTTTCTGTTTTCAAATTTTCTGTTTCTGTTCAATATCTTTGGTGAGAAAATTTCTCTCTACAGTAATTGAAATTTGGAATATTTTCATTGAAAGGGAAAAGGATTAATAATTGTTTATAGTAACGATTTGCTGGAATTAAAAAATAAAATAAGAATAGATTATTTTATCTTTCCTATTAAGTACTTATAAATAAGTACATATGTGAATGTTCTGCACTTAATGATCACACGACGGGAAAAGATTACATCATATTTTATTAATTCAGTATGGTCTTAATAAACATCACAGATGTATTTTAAATTGTTAAAACAAATATGTAATTAATAAATCAGGTGATGGAACAATAAGTGTTACTATAAAGCAATAGATACTCAATTTTACATCAAAGTGTTTTTACACTGCGTATAAATACATAAGTTTGCAATTTGCATTACAATATAGTATTAAAATCTTGAAAAAATAGATATGCAGGAAGTCACATTTGAAACTTGTACAGCCCAGAAAGAATGGAAAGTTTTTACTCTATTTATTTTCAATTGGAATCATATGCACTCCTGATTCTATGGCTGTAGGAAGAGGTGCTTCAACTGTCAGAACACCATCTGTTGATAGTGAGGATTTTATCATCTCAGGATTCGTTCCTTTGGGTAGGAGGAATTCTCTGTTGTATTCACGATATACAGATTTGGTATCAGTTTTCTCTTCATGTTTTGCCTGAACCTAATTTGGAAAGAAGAAAAATAACTTTAATAAACAATGAAATTCACTTTGTTATTCAAAAACGAAAGAGTTCCCTCAAACGCTCAGAATGCATATTAAAATATCAGTTAATTCTAGAAATATCGTCCAGATCGAAATTTGTAGCTAATTTTTTAAGATAAGGAAAGGAATTAGTTTGTTCACAATTCCACAAACATGTCATTAAAAAAAGTATTGCGAATACGTAAATCATAACCTCAATGTTAATCTTTTAAAGAGTTTCGTTTCTTTGTTAGAATCTTATTCATTTCTTCATTCGTTCTCTTGAGAACTTGTAAAAGCAGATTTTTTAATCCTTGTATGTGGCAAAAAATTTGGGTATCATATTTCAACGGAAATATCCATGTTGACCGTTCCCAAATCCATTATGACTATTTATTCACGCGATGTCTGTATGTACGGGCTGAATAAAGGAGACTTTTTTCCAAAACGGATTGTAAAATGCATTCAAAATTTATTTTTGCGTGAAGTCTGTACATACCAAAGAATCTCTAAGGAGAAGAAGTAAAGGTTTCCCGAGGCAAATGTGGCTCCTTCAGACTGAAGAGACACTGTTTATGTCCCTGAAGCTTATTTTAAAGGGCAAACCAATCCCAAAGCATCCACCTTCCGTACCTTTCTGCGCATGTGCGAAATAGCAGTGGCCAAGGAGGCTAACTCCCTAATTTGCAGCCTGTCGTCAGCCATATTAGCAATCTTTTACCACGTTGTTTCGAAGAGGTTCATTGAAATTTTTTTTTTTCAGTTCTTTTCTGTAGTCAAAGGTGCATGTTTTAGTTATTTCAGCAAATCATAAGATGGATGTTTCGCAAGGACGATCACCGGAATTCACCCGATTTCTCTTTCTGTGAGGTAAGCTTGCTTTTTAAATTTCGAAAACCTATCATAGATTTTAAAAATTGATTTTGTATAGTACATTTTAATTTTGATTTCCAAGCTTCCAAAAATATTTTGTCTCATTGTATAACACAGCAGCTAGATTTTCATTCTTAAGTTACTTAATATATTAACTTTGCATTTTAGTATAATATAAAAATAAAATATTAACTTTGCATTTATAGCATATGAATCATCTTAATTTATATAATTAATCATATTAGCAAACAAATACTATAGTTTTGTGCAGGCATATTGGTATTTCTTTCCAAATTTTTTAAATTAGTGAGTTTTAAGCTTTAAAGTCAACTAACAATAATATTACTGACAAAACGAGCGATCAGGAATAAATTTGCCATTTATAATAATGCGGCAGCTAATGGCATGTATGATTACATAAATTAATTTTATTAATAAATTGCGTTATGCTTATGCTTCAGCTTTAAAATTTATGCTATAGATTACTAAATATTTTATCTGAGAAAATTTATAAACTTATTTAATATTAGTGGCCATTGAAGATATTACAGTATTATTTTTAATTTAGTATATTGATAGTTATATACAATTTTTCTTATTTTATGATTATTTTTTGAAAATTTTATATTCATTATTATAAAAATATAATTTTTGATTTCTCTCAATATTTGATGTGGATGTGGTGAATAACAGACTAACTCGGTCTATCTATCTTTTACTTAGCAAACAACCCGAAATCCTGGTATCGCTGTTGTGTTTGTGGGACAACATTTTGAAAAACACCAGACAGGAAATTCTTCAGATTTCCTAAGGATCCTATTAGGTAAATCATTTCTCAAAGTTTAAAAGAAACTAAGCTTTGATTATTAATAATATATATATATCTCCAATTTTTGATAGAGAAGCAAATATTTCATGTATTTGGAATAATTTAAATAAATAGCTTGTTTTTTTCCATTAAGTGTTCCTCATCATAGACAAATAGTTCAGTGTTCTTCTGTAAATATCCAAGATAACTGTGCTTGTGATACAGTTGCTCCCAAAAGTGTTCATACACTTAAAAGAATTTTTAAAAAATGCGCTGTAGCCCAGAATTGAATTTGATTATAAAGCCCAATATTTTCTCATATCTCGAAGTGATTTTGAATAAAACCAAATTTTTTTTCTTCTAATATTTTAGATAATTTTTGTAATTTATGTATTACAAGCTTGAATGCTGCAGGATATCCTACAAAAACTGACAGAAATTTAACTGCAATATTTCGTAATAGTGTCTGCAGATTTCTTTAAAGTGCACGAAGATTTTTGTGAGGTAACTTTTTTGTTACTTTTTAATTATTAATTCCCCTCCAAAAGTTTTACTGTAATCTTATACTTTTATAGAGTTTTGCTAAGATAAATTTATAGATATTAAAAAATTCTCACAGCACTATTTCACTGAAACATAAGTGTACGAACACTTTAAGGAACCACTACATATTAGTGTGAATAAGGAAGGAAACATTTTAAAGATGCACTTTGCGAACAGTGTGTACTTTTTATTGGTGCCTTATTCTTTTTTAATCATATTGTTAACAAAACTGTACAAAGAAATGCTAAATTGTTTAACTAGATACTATGACCGGTAACTACAATTTAACACAATATCTGCAAAATTATTGGTTTTCGTACATCAAAATAAAATTATATGAAATGCGATCATTTCAGAATTTGTTACTAATGTAAAAGGAATTTTTTCACAAGGTTAAATTTCTAATAACACTGAAAAGAGGTTCTTTTAATTAAAGAAAATAAAATTGTTTTTTGTTTTCATAGATCAAAATAATAGAGAATTAGTATAAATATGTCAGAAATGTAATAAATCATATTATGTACATGAATTTTTCCTTAAATTATAATTTAATGTTTGTTCTTAAAAAATATATAACCCTTCTCGAGATTGTGTAACTAATGTATAAGGAATGTTTTTAGTTTGCTATTTTTCCACTAACACTGAAAATGGATTTATTGAAATTTAAAATATAAAATTAATGTTTTTCATTTTTATAGATCAAAACAGTGGGCTGCCGCATGCAGTAATCAAGACTTGTTAACTAAATCACCAACTGATTTGTATAAAACTGCACTAATATGTTCATCGCACTTCAAAGATCATGATTACTGTTCACCAAAGATGCGATATTTACATTCCTGTGCAGTGCCGACAAAATTTGAACAAACAGGTATCTACAGTGTTTACTGTTATTATTTCAATATGCTTAACAATAGCACCATCTAAGAAATAACTCATCAATAATAGTAGATCACCTGTCATGTTATGCTCAAAGAATACTGTGCAACAAAATTGATGGTTTGGATCGCCTGTCATGTTATGCTCAAAGAATGCTGTGCAACAAAATTGACGGTTATTAGTCCGAAATATTGACTGTTGATTTTGGCAAAATTAAAATTATGTAAAATCCAAGCATACAGCATTTTTTTAGAATTATTATATGTATAGTGAAGGTGGAAAATAGGCATTTCTTGTAATTGCTATTTAAAAGAATTAATTTCTAATTTCATAATTGAAACAATCTCTTCATCAGGATGAGCTGCAACAATATTTATTTGATTCAGTGGATTATTTACAAAACTTCTTATACCTATAGGTTGATTTTCAAGTAAGTATTTAATCTTATATTAATAAATGTGAGAAGTATTGAATATTTTATGAACAAAAAGAATGAAATTAGTTATTTTAGTAATTTATGTGCAACTTTTGTATGACTTTTTAAATGTAATCTTGTATTTGTTAATTTAAGTGAAATGCTTTTGGCTTTTGGTTGCAAACTTTGCTCTTTTTTCATAATGGTCATTCCAAATAATTAAAATTTCTTTTTCCTTTTTTTTTTTTTTTTCCTTTTTTCTTTAAAGTTGAGGTCAGATAATTATAATGTATTTCAGTGTTTTCAATTTATTTAGGTGTACTTTTAATTGTTTTTAATTATTTTTTCTGTTTTGGTTAGTTATATGCACATTTTTGCTTGTAAAATTTTAAATATGGATCTAAAAATTCAATTATGTGTTGTATGGTATGTGTTTTCTTCTTTTTAAGCTTACAGAATTAAATGTACTCATTGGTTCGAATAATTCTTTATTAAATAGATTTTTGGCAAAATTAAAATTATGTTAAATCCAAGCCCAAGCATACAGCATATTTAGAATTATTATATGTATAGTGAAGGTAGAAAGTAGGCATTTTTTGTAATTGCTACTCAAAAGAATTAAGTTCTAATTTCATAATTTGAAATAATCTTCATCAGGATGAGCTGCAACAATATTTATTTGATTCAGTGGATTATTTACAAAACTTCTTATACCTATAGGTTTGATTTTCAAGTTAATTATATATTTATGAATATTTTATGAACCAAAAGAATGAAATTAGTTATTTTAATAATTTTTGTGCAACTTTTATAAGACATTTTAAATGTAATCTTGTATTTGTTAATTTAAGTGAAATGCTTTTGACTCTTTGCTTTCATAATGGTTAAAATAATTAATTTTTTTTTTTTTTTTTTTTTTTTTTTTTTGTCAGATAATTATAATGAATTCAGTGTTTTCAATTTATTTAGGGGTACTTGTAATTGTTTTTAATTTTTTTTTTTTGTTTCAGTTAGTTATCATGCAAATTTTGCTCATAAAATTTTAAATATGGAGTTATAAAAATTTATTATGAATTGCATGGTATGCGTTTTTTCTTTTTTAAGCTTACAGAACTGAATGTATTCATTGGTCGAATAATTCGAGATTAAATAGATTTTTGCAAAATTTAAATTATGTAAAATGTAAGCTACAGCATTTTTAGAATTATTATATGTATAGTGAAGATGGAAAATAGTCATTTTTGTAATTGCTATTTAAAAAAATCAATTTCTAATTTCATAATTTGAAATAATCTTCATCAGGAAGAGCTGCAACAATATTTATTTGATTCAGTGGATTATTTATAAAATTTCTTCCCAGGTTTTAATAACACCTGGAAGGTTTGATTTTCAAATTCAGTATTTAATCTTATATTAATAAATGTAAGAAGTATTGAATTTTATGAAAAAGCAATGAAATCA